GTGTGTGTGTGTGTGTGTGTGTGTGTGTGTGTGTGTGTGTGTGTTTGTGTGTGTGTGTTTGTGACTGGAATCCTGTCCAGAGTGTACCTCACGTCCTGGGATATGCCCCAAGCTCCCCGCAACCCCTTTCCTGGAAAAGTGGTTTTGGAAAATGAATGGAATAGAACACACAGTTATGCAAAGTAATGAATGCTTTCAACACTCATGGTGAGTGACACAATATAAAATAAATAGCACAATAACACAATGTTATACAATGTAGCCACAAAAAGGTGCACGGCACCGCAGCGGGCCGGAGGGGGGAGACGGCCACAGAACCAGAGTCTAAAGAAAAGGCTGTATGGCACATAGAGCTGCAAACAGTCCAGCCACCAGATAAAGCAGCACAGAATAGTGCTAGGGGGGCAGGGAGGGGGGGGGGCGCGCTTAGCAACAGCCAACAGCACTCCCACAAAACGCACTGTTCTTTGGCTGGTGGCCTAAAGGGAACCCCCCCCCGCCCCAGGAACAATATGCATGAGTCACACACTGGCCTAATCAGGAAGTAGTGAGCAACCAGACGGTGCACGAGTCCCCCCCCCGGCGTGCACGAGACACAGGGGAGCATATTCACACTAGCTTTGAACGACAAACCAGTGGTGTGCAGTGGTGTGCCCCTCGCTCCCTCCATGGAGACTGGCGCCCCTTCTGGTAGCTCACTGCATTGCACTGTCCAGCAAACGGATGTCAGCCCTTAATACATTTTTGCACTGGCTGGATTAGCAGCTTTTATTATGGTCTTGCTCGCCACAGTAAGTACAACGACCCCCATCCCCTCCACCCCCCCTCGCCTTCGCCCTAGTCGTCACATAACCCCCACGCGACGTCTGCTACCTATGCTTGAGACTTGCACTCATGATGACATCACACTTGGCCTAGTTGCTGGGGCAACGAGCACCCCTGGGGAGGGGAGCAGCCAAGGTGGGGGGGGGGCAGGACAGCAGGAGGTAACTCAACAAGCCAGCACACACTGGCAAGGCTCTGGAGACACAGGCCATACACCTGTTCTGCATATCTTGGGTCCCTTGTGGGACGTGATGGACGGAGACCCACCAGGGCCAGCCGACAATCCAGGCCCATCCTGGGAGACACGGAAAATTAGCGGCGGCCCCAGAGGAAGCAGACAAATGAGCCTGATATACTTCTGTCCATGTTCTCCTGGCCGGATAGAAGCAGCCACCCCAGGGCTGCAGACAGGAACTGGGAATGTTCCCCTCTGTTTTTCAGGTTCAACTTAAAAGGCGCCCGGTCGTCATGGCAACGCCACACATCAGGCGGACTCCCCGCCTGTGGCTTCGATCGTCCCAGCTCCCCATCGAAGAAAACGGGCGCTGATTTGAAACGCGCTAACCCCCCCCACCGAGGAGTAAAAGAGACGTTCACTTGCAATTAGCTCCAGTCACCCATAAACGGATTTACCCAACAAATAAAAAGCACTCGCTTGCCAGGGTGAGCTATTTTTAGCCGGCTTCAATTAATTATGCAAATCAGCAGCTGTCTGTTCTGAGGTAGGTAACGTTCCCCTCGGTTCCGGGCAGGCGGCGAATCCCAATAAACGGCGAAGAGGATGAAGCAAGAGCGACGGCACCCGCAGGCGGACAGGGATGTGTTCTTAAGGAAGGAAGAGACAGTCCCAAGTGAAAGGAACAAGGAGCGCTGCGGGGGGGGCACCCAGCCAAGTGTCGAAGTCCCTCGGGGAGGAGGTGAACATTTGCTATAGATCCGCCATAGACATATCGATCTGCTACAGACATATAGATCCGCTGTTTCCCCACTCCTCAGCAATTAAGCATCCAGCTCGCTAATTACCCACAGTGGGACGTGGTTCTGCGCCAGACGTGGAGGGCGCACAGCACATTGCTAAAGACTCCCCAGGAATAAAAATAACAACAAGAAGTAGAAGAAGAAGAAGAAAGAGCAAAGAACGAAGAAGAAGAATTAGAAGAAGAAGGCGGCCCTGTCTCGTTTGCCGTTAATTAGGTCACAGACAACTTTGTTCTCTCCCTCACAGTTACACCTGGGCTCTGTGAACCAGCAAATCGGACGAGACGCTACAGAGTGAGGTATGTATTTTAGTTTAAAATCATCTATTGGGGACTTGGCGTCTGCTAAAGGTTGAGAAAGTTCACCGGCTAAATGGGTCTCTGCCCTCTCGAAATGTATTAACCTGACCTGGAGGTGAATTCAATCTACATGAAGACCCCCCCCCAACAAATCCCTTGGGTCCCTGCCCTTTCCCGAGGACGGCGTTCTAAAATACATCGGCAGCCAATTATAATTGATCGTCGTTTATTACCGGTGTCAGAGGAAAAAAAAAATAAAATGGTGGTGATGAGAGGAGACATCTATGCTAACTTTTATTTCCGGACACGGGCTGATAACAAAACGCTACATGGAAACTGGCAGCCGTGAAGCGCAGGGGTGCAGGACCACGGAAATCGCAGGGGCACCAAGGCAATTCATTCATGCAGTCACCATTTCATCCATTACAAATCTCCCCCTGTTAAAGAGCAGGATGTAGGCTGCTTGCATGGAGGCAGAATGATCCCCCCACCAAACATGGTGGATATAACAGGTGAGTAAACGCCCTCCAGGCAGGGGTGAACCCACAGGGGCACTGGTCCCAGCTGAAAGCTGACTGGCCCTCGAAGTGCTCCTTCCCCATCACTCACCAATTCAAAACATATCATTGGCTGATAGTTATCCCCGCCTCCCACCTTTTAAAAAAAATCCTATAATCGCCCCTGCATCCAGCCTGTGGGTTCTCCTGTCAGCCTCAATACCTCTGGATGCTGTTGCCCTCAGAGACCAACAGGGGGAGCTCCTGATAATCCCTTTATCCCATATCCTCTGGCTGCACAAACATTCATAACAACAACCAACTTGGAGATGCAATTGTACTGATTGTAAATACCCCACACTTCTATTTAGTTACAAAACATGTGTCACTGATTGGGTTTCTTCACTTAGCAAAATGCTATTTGATAAGCCATCGCTCCAGTCATTGCATCACCTGCACAGGAGACAAACAAAATGAAGAGCACCCCCTACAGGACGGTGGGTGTAACATAGTGGGCTCACCCAAAAGAGCTATCCAGCTACACAACTCTTTAAACAGGGAGTCTGCTCTCTAGTGCAACACAACAGAGTCAGACTGACAGCTATGAGGAGCATCCGACCCTCAAACGTGGAACAAAAAGGAGAGAGAAAGTGAGATAGTCAAGCAGGCTTAGTTCCCCTATAAAACAAACCCTATTCCTCTTAAGATAATTACAGTATTTTAGTGAGGATAGAATAATTAAGTGGAAATAAGCAATTAAAAGCCTGTTTCTAAATATAAGCTACTTAGCATGAATGAGGATTGAAAATAGAGCACTTGTACTTGGGCCCAGTGCAGTTTGACAGCTCTGGCACGCTAGAGGCTAAAGGCCTGGGAGAGAGAGGAAGACCAGCAACTGAACAAAACAGGACACTACCACAGACAGGGTATCGCCCACCAGAGAAACACTGGCTGGCCACACCCCTCACGCCACCAACCAATGAGCACCCCTGATAAGGGTCACTGACTTCACAGCTCTGCAGAGGATGCTGATGACATCACAGCATTCCAACATTTTGCTTGAGAAAGCAAAGAATGGAGATGATGCAATCCCGGCAACCTGCAACCAAAATCTTCGCCACTCGAAGGTGGGGGGGGGGGGTTGGTTGAGATCAATTTTCTGATGCATCTCAAGTGAATAAATCTGTGAAATATATGATCCACCCCAGGGGAGGTCTAGCGAACTGACGCACCCTGATTACGGGTCTTCAGTTGCAAGCCTACTGTGGCCTGGTTCAAGAGCCCTCAAAAACATACAGCACTGTGACAAAGCCTGATGTGGTCAAAGGAAATGCTTAAAGCTAATTATCTGGGTACTAGGTTTATATTTGCTCTGGAAAAAAAAACTATTTAACATTTGCAAATAAAGAGTATCACAATAAAAGCTAACAAGAATTTCTTCCATTCTCCTAAAAGTCAGTGATATCTTGTTAGATGGCTAGATTAATCACCACCAGCTCAATTAATTAATTAGCTTTAAAAAAGTAAATGGGGTAATGAATAGTCATACGATTCAAAAAATATTTTGGCTGGTTGAAATGGTGCGGAGACTTTAGCAGAGGTTTTGAAATGGCTACGCTGATCACTTTAATATCTCAGCATTACACCTACATGGAGATCAAGTAAACAGCATTTTCTTTTCTTGACCAAGATTTTTGCACAGTGCTGTCGTAAGTGGTGAAGACAAACTACGCAGTAATGTCAGATTCCCCCCGGAGAAGCAAGCGAAACCAGAAAGCCTGTGTGTTTCAGGGTGTGAAATACGATCATTCGGAAATCCCTGAAAGGGAACGTTTCACCAAAGAGACGCTTCAGGTTAGGGGCGTGATCACGGCACAGTGCTCTACCTGGTTCCGTGCAGTTCTTCTCCATCTGGTGCACCGTGTCGTTCCTCCTTGGCGTCTGCAGTAGCCGGCGACTGCCCCAGCTGCCATGGCTGTCTGCAGTGACGGCACTGGACACGGAGAATCCTGCAGGTTTTCGGTAAACACAGAAGCAGAGCCATTAACGGCGCTCAGAAGCGGAGCAATCAAATCCCATATCAGCTGGAAAACACTAAATCGGCTTGCGAAGACCTCAGGATTTTCAATAATCATGCGGGGGGTGATTGTAGGATTTTATGGAGGGGCATAATAGGGGGGTCAACCTTATGCTGGTGCCCCCCCCCACATGGGACCCCCCTAAACGCCTACATGGACCAGTCCACAAAAAAAACCCGAAAAAAAAAACTAAGGGGAACTTCGCTTGACCTCATTCACTTGATTTTTGCCAATTATAATGTTGTTCTGTTTTTCATTTAAGCGAGGCCCTTACCCCCGCCTCTGCCCCCCACACGACCAGGGTCACCCTTAAAAAATGGATCAAATTTCGCATTTTGCTGTCTGACTTCCTTCAGAACATCTTGATGAAGACCTTTGATTATTACCTTCAGGTATCAGGCGGTCCAATGGCACAGTTAGACAGCAAAATAGAGATCCAGAGCCACTGGATCATCATACTACACTGCACGTTTTAAAGACTTGTCGATATTAGGACACCTCTAACTGCCACATCTTTTCACCATCATCAGGCTTCCATTTTTCTCAGCGGAGTGAACCATTCCTGTGGAGTGGCGGGGGGGGAGCTGGAAGGAGTCTGGCCTAAAGGCACTGACATGGACCCCTGTGGCTTCAACACTTCCTCTTTCTCGAGAGTACATGTCCGGCGCCGTCTAACAACTTCCTCTCCGTTGCAGGCAGACATCTTGGCACTTTTCAATTAATGACATTACCCATTCAGTGAGCCAGAATGAACTCTGGGAAATATGTTACTATGGAGATGTGATGTAACTGCTGAGAGCAGAGCAAGCAGTGATGACATACATTTCAGAACAAACATGTTTGTCAACTTTTTCCAAGTTTTTTTATCTTTGGTGAATTGATTTGAAATCTATACATTCACAACTCCTACAGCTGTCAAAATTCACCTGGATTCCTGAGTATTTGCCCATTTGAAAGATAGCGGTTATAAAGTCTCCTATTATTTTTCAGTGAACCTAGTAAGTTTGGTTTGGAGAAGCCCTGCCTGCCAGCAACACTCCCAACACCTGGGGAAAAAAGTCTCTGCTCACGAGGTGAAACGTTATGTTACAGAGCTCATTCCCGCAGCAGCTTCTCATGTTTGTGTCACACGAGTCGTCACAGTCATGATCGCCATCATCTCTGCAGGAAATGACATCACGTGGATACGACACGACAGGAAATGACATCACGTGGACACGACACGACAGGAAATGACATCACGTGGATACAACACACATATGACTATTTTAAAACTGCTATTAGATATTTGGAAGATATCTGAATGTATTCAAAATCTGACTGTAATTATTATCCAAATGGTACAGTGGGCAGCACCAATGCCTCAGGCCTAGAGAGTTGTTCTGTAAAATTTGCATGTTCTCCTGATGATGTGATGGTTTCCAACAGGCCCTCCAGAGTGATCCAACACTGTGGGTGTTCCCCTACCTTGTGCCCCATGCTGCCTGAAATAGGTCATACCACCCATTACTGGATAATGCAGACTTTGGAGAGATGGATATATTCAGATCTTTAAACTAAAGTCACCTGAAGTCCACCACAAAACTCCCAGGTGCATTTTTTTAGGTATCAACCAAAAAAAAAATCAGTCTTTTTTCCTCACTCTATTATGTGCTGTGTAACAGTTTTTTTAACAGAGAGAGAGGAAAAAGTCAATATCTGGACGCCGAGGCGATTAACACAAATGTCTGGGAATGCGGTGCGGTGACATTTTTGCAAAGATTCCTCCCATTCGGAGATTCAGCTTTTGTCAGAAGGGCAAACCAAAGGTTTCACTCATCCTCATTATCCCATATTTGCGTTCGGCTGGGCTGCAGGCTGAAGCGGGCGCATTTAAATGTGCAGGGCTGCCTCCACTGAGCGGCATGGCGCATGCTGAATCAAGACGGAGGCAGCTTCTCTGATCCGCACAGGTCTGTGTTTGTTCCCAAATCCCATCATGACGTGCCCCTCTTACGGTCCCACTCTAAGCAAGACCTGCTCCTTCGTGTCCCTCCATGCCTCAGAAGAGGCCACCGCCACCTAAGCAGGGCCCACGAAGTCACCACACATCGGGTGTCACAACACTAAAATCTCACTTAAACGTTGAGCCCCCAGAATTTCCCCACTGAACACAATAGCACATGCATGCTACTAGTGTAGCATATACATCCATATCTTTTGAAAGAAATTAAAAGATTCTTTGCCATTTGCACTAGTAAATTACAGATACACTGGAATGTTTCTTTTGACATAATCCCATCTTGCCTTTGCTTTGCTCAAGGGATCGACAGCAGTGTTACTATTCTTCCAAGGATGGGACTCACACCCACAACCTGCTGATCACAGGCACAGGGACCAAATCCATGGATTTCTTTAACTGCTTATGCAATGTGATGTCAAAGTCAGCTTGGAACCCCACCTGGAAAGCACAGGGCACAAGGGAAAGGATGCCCTCCAGCAGGGGGTGCCCTTCAGCACAGGTCACTCACACACACACACACCAGGCAGGAAACTGTAGGTAGAAACCTGTCTGCCTGGAGGAACACATAAACTCCATACACATTGAACCGGGGAAGGGACTCAAACCCACAACCTACAGTGCTCTTGTCAGAGCCTAAAGAAGGGCAAAGGGGAGGAAATGAAATAATCGAAATATGACTCACCTTATTGATGATATTTCAATAACAAGAAAATATACAAAACATTTACAAAATATTGACGAGACCAATTCTGCAGTAATACTGCAGCCAAGAAACAGTGAGGAGAGTGGGCTAGCAGGCTACAGCGCTAACGAAGCGTCTTCACAGAGAGACCGTAGGTGTCAGCCTGGCATGAGTCGCGGGCAGTCCTAGCTTGGCAGATGATTACAAGCACAGAACTACCCGCTGTCTTCAATGAGCGTGTGATCTGGGGGGCTGAATGGGCCCCCCGCATCCACCTGATCGTGACCGCATACTGTCACTGCTGGGTTATTTTTAGAGCCAGCGTCCACCCGGCCTGTCAACCCTAATCGCACCATTTATCTTCATTAGAAGTCCAGGTGCGACAGCGGACGGGGGGCCAGGAGAAGGGTGGCGGGTCCCCGAGGGCCCCCACCATAATGAGGCCACGACAGTAAACCACCAGGTGCACGTGAGCAGCCAGTCCCCACAAGAGAAGCACGTGTCAAAAGCCATTATCAATTCACTCACAATACCAATCAAATGTTTTATGGACTAGTGCAACTGATACCATTATGAAATATTTTAACGACAATAAAAATTGGTAAATGACAATTATTTTTATAGGATGATTAACTTGTAAAAGAGTAAGGCATTTTTTTATAATTCAAAAGCTAGACAATACTAGAGTTAAAAATACTCATCAAATGAAATTAAAATTCAAACGAAAAAAGGAACTTTTACACATTCAGACAGATTTAATCTAGTGAAGACAAGTGACAATTTTAATCAGATTCCCTTCAACTCTAACTGGGCTACTGGGGTTGCTGCGTCTCAGTGGGTCTGTTACTGTAAACATCTGTAATCGAAATGGTAATTGAGAGCAAATGATCACCATTCGAGTATTGAGTATTGATGCTGCGGTAACAATCTGCCCATTCCTATCAACACCATCATTCTGATCGACAGCAGAGCTCCAGCAATGCATCACAGCTACGTTTTGGTTCTCCTGAGTATTGGACAGTGTCCTTATATGCAAAAGAATGCATTTTTGATTACCTCAGGACACCGAGAGTTACAGCAGCACAGTGACTGGATCAGACACTACCCGCAACCCCTTGATCGGCTCTGATAAGTGAGACCAGAATACTGAGTGGAGGTGACAATGCCGCTGATCCCTGATTGGCCACGACAGCTCTGAATGAGACTGCTATTGGTCCAGTGTCCCCCGGGACTGCTGAAGATATCCACATTAACATCTACATTAGTCAGCTGTCTTAGATCCCGCTCTCTGTATTAAAACTGCAGTGGACAGGGAGAGAAGTGCGTCAACAAACACCGACGGCCAGTAGCATGCAATTCAGGATGAGGGTTCACTGCTCCTGCCAGAAAAGTATCTTTGAGAACAGGAAAGAGGAAGACAGCAAGTCTAAGCAGAACGTCATTCTACACTCCCCATAATGCTAGGGCTGCCTGATATTGCATTGATATCACATCGCGATATAACTGCAATTATACAGCGCATGAGCAATAATCACCAGGGCTTTAGATGATGGGTGTAAGCATTTGTCCGGACGCCGACTTTTCGGTACTATACAGATGTTTACTTACGCCTACAATTTGGTAAGATTAGTTGTACGCCTAAAATATTAATAAGAAGCATATGAAGCTCAAAAGTCTGAGATTTGTATAAATGTGGCATATCCTTTATTATATTCCCCTTTATTATATTATATTCCCCTTATATTATATTCCCCTTTATTATATTATATTCCCCTTTATTATATTCCCCTTATATTATATTCCCCTTTATTATATTCCCCTTTATTATATTATATTCCCCTTTATTATATTCCCCTTATATTATATTATATTCCCCTTTATTATATTATATTCCCCTTTATTATATTTCCCTTATATTATATTATATTCCCCTTTATTATAGTCCCTGGGCGCTGAATTAGCTGCCCCCTGCTATGTCACATTGTCTCATATGGGTTAAATGCAGAGGACACATTTTGTTGTTGCGCACTGTGTGCTGTGGTGTGTTGACAATGACCAGTGATCACCAAATTCATTCATTAATTCTTCATTCATTCGTATTCGATTAGCGGAGCACACTACATGCTACCGTTTTGGTAAATCGTGGCGGAGATACGCCCTCATGGCGAGACACTTTCAACAGCCACAACATCTTTTAAAAGAAGTGATATTGTGGTTAAACAAGCTAGAAAGACGTCGGTTGTGTGGAGGTACTTTTTCGCAGCTTAAAGTCCCACACGTTTATTACACATGAGGATATGCCGACTTCATGCATATTACTAACTTCTGGGCATCATAATATGACTCATTAATATCTTAGGCGCACCACTAATCTGCTTAACGAATTGAGGGTGTAAGTAAACGTCTGTGTAATATTGAAAAGCCGGAGTCAGGGCAAATGTTTACACCCGTCGTCAAAGGTCCTGGTGATAATTGCGCATGCATCATATAAATCGCTATGTGATATCATGCAGCCCTACAAAGTACTATATGTATCAAGAACCCAAATATTTCATCCATCTTAGACCCCCCTTATCCTGCACAGGAATGAGGGGGCTCACCCCAGCCAAATCCATCACAGGGCAAACAGGCTCTCTCACACACTGGGGGGGGATTCAGAGACACCAATTAGGCTAATAGGAGCTCTTTGAACTGCAGGAAGAAATAGGAGTACCTGAAGGAAACCCACACAACACAGACAGAACAAGCAAACTCCACACACATATATGGAGGAGGTGGGATTCAAACCCACAACCTTGGAGGAGGAAGGCGATACAGATACCTACTTTGCCACCCCAAGAGCATAACCTTTCATTTCTATTGTATAATTTCATCAGTCCCCCCTTTTTTCAAAATGCCGGCCTCAGAATTGTAATCTAAGCCCTATTTACATGGCGGCACAGTCATCTCAACAGACAGCACACTGGGAAGTGGTTACTGACGGCAACACACCTCACTGGCACCAGGTGGACATCAGTGCACATCCCCAGGACTTCTGTGCTTATTACACAAACACAGGGGAGGGGTGTCATTTTCCACAAAATGCTCCTCTTTCAGCTCATACACTTTTAACATCACAGAGATGAGGCTGCCATCTGTCAAAGCCAGCGTTCGGCGAAAGGAGTTATCAGAGAGAATTCTGGGTAACGCTCTCCAGCGGCACATGCCGATCCCGAGGAAGACGCTGCTCAGGCCCGTCTCCTGTTACTACGGCGATTCAAGCTCAGTCATGCACGATGCGACGCCGCATTCACAGCCACTGTGGTGCTAAGTGATCAGGAGATAAGCAAACCACTTCACAGAAGAGTCTGACCAAAATAAAAGGTCAGAAGAGCAGCACGGTGACCCAGCTGGTGACAGTGTGGCCTCGTGCCTCCAGGGCTGGGGGGTGTAAATCCTGCCTTCATGTTTAGGTGTCCTCCGCGTCCCATGAGGGTCTAGACCGCCCTCAACAGGCTACCGCATGTTAAAGCAAATCCCAGCAGCAGACCGGCCTCCTGTCCAGGGTGTTTCTGAACACTGTACCCTATGCTGCCCCCCCCCCCCGTGACCCCATAATGGATGAGCGGTTGGAAGAAGGATGGATAAAAATATGTTTTTAAAAAAAAAAAAAACACCATGCGACTGGTGCTTAAATGAAACTAAATTTTTCTGATGAGGGACCACCAGGGTACGGCTGCATCAGAACGAGAAGGTGGTCTTCGCGATGCAGACCTCCCCTGACAAGACAAACAACACACACCAGCTCACAAACCAACCGTGACACACACACACACACACTCCATTGGCTACTGGGCAGGGCGTCAAACTGGCATCCAGACACATCATGGTATTCCAAAGAGACAGGACACAAGCATCAGTGGTCCCTTGGCTGAGGCTGCCTGAAGGATGGGGCTGTCTGGGGAGGGGGGTGTGGGGAGGGGGGGTGGCTCCTCACCCCCTCATTATTCCAGCTCTTATCGGGAGGTGTCACATTTCTGAAAAGTGCATTTCGCCTTGGCACAGAGACAGGCTGCCCCCCCCCCCACCAATGGTTGGGGGATGGTCAGGGGCAAATGTGCTGTCACACACAAAGTTTGATGGCACAGTCAATCACGGGCGACTGCAGAGCATCATTCAGCGGAGCGTTTGCTCAGCCTGGGGGTCTGGTGCATGTTGGGGGGGGGGGGGGGGGGAGTGGACCATGCCACTTCAGGCATGCTGCTGCATATGTGCAAACATGTCAGGAGCTAGAGAGGGGCAGCAGGGTGGATGAAGCACCGCTAACCAGCAAACGCAAGCAGTTACCACAACCAGAGAGGATCACTGATGGCAAATAAATATGAACAAGTCCAGAACAAACAAGAGCAATTCTGTGGCCAATTTGCCATTTGTTTAACTCAAAGGGGGACATCTCCACAGGCTTCAAAGTCACCATCAGGGTAAAAATGCAAGAAAATTAATTTAATGACGAGAAACAAGAGATAAGCCTTACATCACACATAGATAATCTTTGCCATTTTAGAAGCATAGATCATGTCAGAAATCATGTCAGTGATGGCTGTCATTGATGGTGACGGCATGAAGCTTGCTTGTTGCCCGACGGCCGCTTAATTTGTGGAGACACGCCTCCCCACCTTTGCCCTGTGTTTGTGTTAGAGCGCTGGGGGCAACTATAACCTTTGCCCTGTGTTGGTGTTAGAGCGCTGGGGGCAACTATAACCTTTGCCCTGTGTTGGTGTTAGAGCGCTGGGGGCAACTATAACCTTTGCCCTGTGTTGGTGTTAGAGCGCTGGGGGCAACTATAAAAACGATCCGTGGCCCGGGGTCAAAACCATTGCGAATTCTGATGGACATTTTGATCAGAATGCAATTTTTACCACATACATGGTATTTAAAAATGTCACCCATATAGTTTTTTGCCCACGCACACATTTGTAATAGACGATACCTATTACTATAAATTTCTGAGCTTTCAAAAAACATAAATCACAATAAAATTATCGTTAAGCAGTACCATATATGTTTAGCTTTCATTTCAATCACAACTAAATTTGAGCTTAATTTGTTCAAAAATTAAATTGATTTTTTTTTCCATCTATTTTGCATGTAACAACATATCACCTAAGACAAGAACATAACCCAGAAATCAATCAATGGAGGTATGAAGCATACCTTTCTAACCAAAACTTTGCAGCAATAATATTTTCACAAATACAAGAAATAAATAATAATAATAATAATAAATAAATAGCCTACGCTGTTTTCATTACCTCTTCTTTCAAAGCAACATAGCAGCAATTTTAGACAACAATTTTACAAGTCTGAAAATAAAAAAATAACAATTTAAAAGACTATCCGATTATATAAACTGTAAACATTGTGTTTATTACGGCAAAAAATAAATTGTTTCAGATTGTTACAACTAATATCGATACGGTAATAAACAGGGTACAACATCGTAAAGTGTAAAACAAAACCAACAGAAAAATCCTAAGAACCGATCCAAGACGACTTAAAATTGTCAAAAATTCTTTACAAAAAGAGACAAACATCAACCCCCCTGTGTTACTGTAAAAACATCGAAGCCCTTGTCATTATTTAATGGCCCTTTTGCCAGTGCGTCGCACCTACACTAGGATCGGATCTTCCTTAAGCATCTCACTTGACCCAAGCGGTTTCTAACCGACGTTAAAAAGACGCTATTTTTACGCGCCATGCAATTCGATCTTTCACACTTCATCTCAAAGGGCTTAATGGGGTGAAGGGAAAGCGGCGTCGTACGCCGTGCGCTGGAAAGAGAGACCCTCAGCGTAGCAGGAGATAATGGGGCGCAGATGGTTCCCAGCGCCATTCAAAGCGGCCAAGTTCAGCAAAGGCGCACATGTGGCCGCAGCCAGGGACCGCTTTGTGATGTATTTATGACAAACTAACGCCTCTTTAAAGCAAACGCACTTTAAAAAGAACTCAGCCGTCAGCAATAACCAAAAGGACAGCATTATTTCGTGGTAAATCTGATTTTAAAAGCAACTGGGTGAGGGCTGTGAGAATTGTCCTTGTGTTTGACAGCGTGCTACAGCAGCAGCCCGATCGCACCGAGACTCGGGATCTTATTATTAATGTTACCCACGGGTAATGAAATCGAATAAGTCATATGCAATATGCGGCATATGCAAGTGCAAGGGGCTCATTCACTTAACTCAAACAAGTTCAAAATGGGTAAAAAGAATGAGGAAAAAACACGTTATATCCATAACAGACAACAGTCCCGGAATGGGGCCACGGTAATATCCTATCGACACCAAACGCTCACCTGAATGTCCAGCCAGAGAAGACAGAGCCGACAGACACAGGAGGGACAAGCCTATGAAGCTCATCTGCCCCCAAAACAACTCCTTTCGCCTTTTCCTTCTCGCTTTAATCTTCTTTTGGGTGAGCATCTCTTGATGGGGCCAGATCTGGGGTCCAATAATGAGAGGTTTCCAGTAAGCGATTACCTTTTCCATGGAGATCCCCCCCTCCCTGTTTCCGCAGGAAAACTGAAATAAGGGGAAGAATAAGACGGATAATTGGCTGAGGAATGTGTGAAGATTGAGTAAAGTTATCACAAAAAAATACCGTTGCTTTCGATTTGCCTTCTCGGCGTAATGTGTCTTCTTATATTTTTTTAAACGGTAACGCCGTGCAAAGTAAGTGCCGTAGGCGGAAGGAGAGGCGCTCCATGGATGCGTCGGCTAGGCTGCTTCTGGCAGGACGCAGATTTCTGTCCGGTTTGCGTGTTTAAGACAGAGCCGAAAGCCGGATGAAGAGGCAGAGCGGCGCGTACTCACACCGATACGGCGCAGAGGCTTGATGCTGAGATAGCATGTTCTTGCACACGAGTAAAAATAGGAGAAAGAGAAGCTGGGGAGGGGTGCAAGAAAGACGACCGAAGGCGACGCAGATATATACGTCCGTTACTGCCCCCTTCTGGCTAAATCGACCAGTGGCGTTTGTAGATAAAACCACGGCAATAGCTTTGAATCCACTCAACACAAAGGGATACGCAGAACAACGATTAAGAAACAAACGCTATTTAAGGGGCTCTAACGTCGTTAAAAAAAGAAAAGGTATTGATTACGGGTTTACTGAATAATGGTGGGGGGAGAGTTGATACTGCACCAAACTGTCAGGAAAGTCTCAGTTTGACAGGATTTCTTTGGAGTTCAGATAAAGTTGCTAATTTCAGAGAAGTCTAATAATTTTACTGCATATGACACATAGATAGTGCATGCATGCATTGACCACGCCCACTGTTCACACTTGCCTGCAGCTACTCACCTGCAATCTTCCCCTCCTTCCCTGTGTATCTGACTCCAGTTTTGGTTTCCACCTCGTGGTTTGTATGCATCCACGGCCTAACGGCTCAACTGCTCACTGACTATGGCTCGCGCATCATTGGCTTCAGCCGATTGGTCACTGACTGTAACTCACAGTTCACTGGCCACAGCTCATTGGCCACTGACCGCACCACACGGCTCATCGGCTACGGCTCATTGGCCTCTGACTACAGCTCACTGGTGACTGAGGGTAGATCATAACCCACTTGCTGCTCACTCGCAATGACTGATGAAATTATATGCTCTACATTTTGCTTGACTGACTGGTGACCCACGTATCTTTAAAAATAGCACGGGGAAATTTTCAGCAAGAATGGAAAAGTTAAGCTCTTAGGTTTTTAATAACCTTTAACCCTTTTGATGCAGGGATTCCAGGCTGTGAGTGGCTGAGAAGCATTATTGTACGTATGGAGAGACAACAAAAACAGGACAATGCAAGGTGGGCTGTTTCTCAGCAAGGAGCCTGAATCACAACAACCAAGTTTTAGAGATGTTTTTGCACATAAATATCAACAAAAGTTCTGTGACCTCTGGTTTGGTTTTATTTTCCGATGGTTGATTCTTGATGGTCATAGAGGAAATGGTAAAAATTTCTCAACAACAGAATGTCTGCCAGTTGCCTGTGTGCAGTAAAACCATTGTAACCACATGATGTGCTGCTTTTAAGTGTCACAATGCATATGCAACAAAACAAGGACACCCCCCCCCCACCAGCCCAGGGCTTGAAATATGTGCATAATGCATTGTGTATGTTCTCGAGGTTACAGCCCAAACTTGCCGAGAATCGTAGCGCCAATAAAGAGACCCCTTTCTTACAGGATTCTTGAGAAGTCTCCTAAACTTTTTATAGTCCTCTGTACACTGTGGCTCATTCCTGCACAAAGCTAGAAAATCCGAAGATTCCCAACAGTCAGCGTTTAACTGGATCACAGGCTAAACGAAAGACCGAACCAATTATGAGTGGCTAAATTGTTTTTCCATAGCCAGTGGGCCTGGCAAGGGCAGCAGGGCTGAGATGCAAGATAATGCTGCGCTGGGACGCTGTTCTGCACTGGAGCCGGCCTGCGC